AGCAAATATCATTGCATAAACCACTCTTACTAAATATGGTATTTTCTTTCTTGTGTTTAAACATATTATATATAATTTAATATCATTTGTTGAGTGACTACTATGTGCCAGTTACCAGTCTAAACATTTTACATATATTATATAATTTAATTTCCATTATCGCTTTTACAGACATCCAGAGTGTTAAATCGATTTCTGAATATTTTATTGAAAAAAAATACTGATGAAAAATGGGTTCACAAAATTGTGTTAGGGAAAAATGAAATTCAAAGTCTAGGTCTGATTGGATAACCAAAGTAATTTTCCAGTGAAGGATATGTGTACTCTCAGACCATGGAGGGCAAGGAACTGATTTTTATGATAGTTTAGGGAGGAAAAAATTGAAGAAAAGAACAGGGATAAACTGATGATGGCTTTGCCCAAATTTCCACAAAGGTAGTGAAAGCTGAATACTCAAATCAAGGTTCCCAGTTGATCTTGGTCCTAAAGTCAGATCTCACTCATCTTTTGTAAGCTTAGATCATACATATTAAAAGTCCATATAAATGGAAAGTGATATTTTTAAAAATCAGATCATCCTATAAACCATGACTTTTTAAAACAGAGTTATATGGTAATCTTATCATAAACATCTTACTAAATTTTTATTGAATGAATACCAATTAAGTATAAATATTAATTTCACTTCCTAATAAAAAGCAAACTGAATATATCTTACTTGATTTTTAAATATTACCAAGGAAAGTTCCTAGGTTTAAATGTTATTCTTTCATAGTAAACCACAATAATACAGAACTATTACCTAAGTATCTCATACCAAATTATTAAATAGAACCATATAAAATTACCAATTAGTCAACTTTATCTTACACACAAAAATGGCAATTTCATATGGTGCAATCTAAAACAACAGTGAGACATAGAAGAGGTAAAGGAAAATCCAACACCAGAGGAAATGAAAACCTCATTAATTTCTTCATACAACACTAAGCTCTATAGAAATGTCTCAATTAATACATTGAGAAATTGTAGCACTTGCCTAAAATTTCATACCTGGCAGATATACCCATCAGAAATCACAGATGCTTCAGACAAGTGGCAAATTCACAATAATTAACATCTTGAAAGCTAGCCAAATCTTTTCCTAATCTATTACAAATAAAAATGATTTTCATTTCTTTTTAAAAACACTAAATCATCTTGAACCTCAAGCCACAGGAGGACCCCAAGCATGAGAGTGAGTCTTTAGCTATGGATAGACAGTGATTGGAATGGTAAATGTTTGAAAACCAGCTCTCCGGGTGAAAAGAGTGTGTGTGTGTGTGTGTGTGTGTGTGTGTGTGTGTGTGTGTGTAGTAAATCTTGCTGATATAAAGGATGTGCAGCACAAATACAATAATAACAACATATGTTTTTGTAAAATACATATAGCCATTGATTATCATAGAATGGTTTTGTTGGTTTTTAGCAAACTCTTATGAGTAGCCAACTTATAGTGGCAACTGGCAAACAAGCACAGTTCAAACATTCATGTCGAGCATGCATTATCATATATGCTAAGAGGTAAGACAAAAGCAAAACAATGAAGACGTATGTCAGACTTCACTCTTTGTCAATGATGTCAGTGTCTCCTTTGCTAAACTAGATAATAATTTTTAAATACTAGAAGAATACTTTCTCAATTCTTTGTGCTATTCACATTTTAACAGCTGTTAATGACTGAATGTTTGTAACCTCTGAAAATCTGTATGTTGAAATCCTAACTCCCAACAGGATGATATTAGAAGATGGGGCCTTTGGGAGGTAATTAGGTCATGAGGGCAGAGCCTTCTTGAATGGGATTAGTGCCCTCATAAAAAGAGACAGTAGAACAAGATAATCTCTTTCTGCCATTTGAAAATACAGTGAGAAGGCAGCCACCTACAAGTCAAAAAGAGGGCCCTCACCAAGAACCAAGTGTGCAGCACCTTGACCTTGGACTTCCCAGCCTCCAGAACTGTGAGAAATAAATGTTGTTTAAACTACCCAATCTATGGTAATTTGTTATAGTAGCCAAGCTGACTAAGACAACGGCTATAGACATTACACACTTTAAAGTTGAATTTGTATTACTATCATTTTCTCCATAACTTTATAAAGTCTAGAGACAATTAACAATAAATCAAGCCCTGATTTGTAGCCTCTGCTGATTTCTATAGTGTAAATACTACCATCGTGGCCAATTTCAAATTACCAATATGAAGTCACTGAACGAAGAATTGGGAAGAGATGCACAGTATCATATCATTTTATAGCATTTCTACCATACAGACACAATAGACATAAATAACCTCAACAGCGTAGACCATAGTAAAATGCAGTAAAATAAGTAGGGTGTGATGGATTTTGTGTCTTTATTACCTTTATTTTTAATATCATTATTTAAGTGTTTATATAACTTAATTTTTAATAGTATCCGGAGATGCCTCCAGCGTTAAGAGGTGGCTCCAGCACACCACTGCAAAATGAAAACATTTCCAATTCTAAAGTATCTTCATAAATTTGAGCTAATATTTACATTGTTGCTCTCGTAACTGAAGCTATTTTATAGACAGCTTCATTCAGTCTATTTTATAGCCTATGACAGAAGACTAAATGACTTAAATTTACCTAGGTTTCACATGGGGATATTAGAATCTAGCTCTAAGTATAATAGATACAAGTTTCTGGTTTATTAAGATAGTTGCAACATTTCTATAATTCTTTATTTTAAAATTTGTTCTAAGAACATTTCATAATGTTTAAAATAGTAATTAAACCCTAACATACAAAGGTAACTGTATAAACTTATAAGTGCTTCTAGAAAACCAAAAATTTGCCATTTGATCATTTTATAATAAGGTATCTTGGAGGCACATGAAATTCATTCCTATAAAATCTCTCAAAGCCAAATCTAACTTCTGGATATTTAAAAGGAATGAGGTAACACAAAGGCCAATAATAACATGTTTAAAAATGCCTAATCATATTCTATGTTTCAGGGTGTAAGCTGATCAGCTGAAGAGCTGGAAAGGAAAAGAACTGCCTGGCCCTCCCATTTGCTTTCTGCCTAGCGTATGTAAGATTTCACGAGAGAAAAGGTGAATGAAAAAAGCAATTTCAGCTTTCCTCTGAAGTCCAAAGATCTACCAATAGGATAAAAAGTTGAGCGATAAGTGATAGCAACTAAATTAGCTGTATTCCACATCCAAATACTTTCTCCTAAAGCACAAGATACTAGCCTCCCAAGGCCCATCTATTCTTAATTTCTACTCTGCCTGCACTTCCAAGAAAATGTAGCTCACTCCATCCTGGTATAAGGCACCCTCAACCTGCCATGTCCATTTCTCTTCTCTTTGCAAATATATCAATATTTGAAAATAATGCATTTTCCTGCTTCTTTATACTACCACCAGCTTCATGATTAAAAGAAAATCTCCAAATCATAGAATTTCATTTTATGTGAGAGCAAGGATTATAAATAAGACATAAAAGACAGACTTTCAATTTAATTGCCATAATTTTAAAAACATGGGTTGCCTTTAAAATAAAATATTTGTGACATCAGTTACAATAAACTGTTCATCCCATAACCTTTGCAACCATTAAACACCACCTCTCTTCAAAAATACAATTAAAAAAAACAACAAAAAAAACAAACAAACAGTAGAACATTTCCCAGCAGCATCAATATTCCAGGTAATGGCAGAACCATCAAATTGTAGTAGGATTGCTCTAAATGTGATTCTTTCTTTTGTGAATGCTTTTTATAAATAGCATTTTTAGTTTAAGTATTTATTTATTTATACTCGACTTTGCTTTTTAAAAAATTTATGGCAGCAGTTAAATCAATATATAAGCCACTCAATAAAACTGAACTTTTCATTTGGACTAAACCCTCATTGAGAAACTACAATGATGGAATGGTTCGAAAAGATAGCAGAGAAAGTTTGCTGATAGTAAGCTTTCTTCCAGACTATGATTAATTTTAATATTTAGTCAGAAAACCCAATTTTCCAGAAATGAAACAGCTGAGTTAGAATTCAGCTCATACAATTCACTTAGCCCACCTTTTCCATGACCGCGTGTTTTATGTTATTCTGAAAGTGCAGCTGAGGGCCATGAATTAGAAGCTTCCTTATCTATTCATTTCTTTTAATCCCAAAAAGACTGGGGGTGGGATGGGAGAGACCTACTTCCACCAGCTCAATGCTTAGCAACTCTTTCCACCATGCCTTCATGTTTCATATTTCACGGAAATTAACTTCTCCCTTCTCAGGGTGCATCCAATCATGACATTTATTTGAAACAAAGGCAACGCTACAGAAGATGGACACTTTACAGAAAACTCTGGTAAATGCAAAAAGAGTATAGATAAGATATAGTGCCTTTCCTATTGCTATATCATGGGGTTACTATCCCACCTTGAATCATTATTCTCACGTCTAACTATCATTATCATATCACAAAAGAGCACACTTTTTTTAAGTAGAAAAATAATAGTGAGCCTTATTTTGATGAATGATCATTTATAAGCTGGACACAAGGTCACATATCAAATCAAGCAACTACTTCATGAAAAGAGATTTCAGAGCATTTATCATATCTTAGTCTGTCCTCCTAATCCTGACAAACCACCATGTTGAAAGTCTATTCCTTGATGTGCTCAATCATCTACAAGTTTGCTGATTCATCTCAAACATTCAGTTGCTTCATCATAGCATCATTACCAAACATTCTCAATCAGAGTAGAGGTGTATGGAGCAAGCAAGGCATCTTGCAGCCTACAATAATCGCTGAAATCTTTCCAACAGGGCTGCAAACCTGCCCAACTAGATAAAAAGCGTCATTGTGAAATGGCTGTGGCACATGAATTTGAGAAAAGAAGAAATATGGAGAGGGGTTTAAAAAAAATGACAAGGGATGGATGAAAGTGAGCAAGACTGGTACAGAGAGCAGCAGCCTGTCGGCCCCTGCATTACCATTATCAGGGTTCGCAAACATCCTACTTGCGCTGGAGACTGTCTTCCCAATGTCAGCCAGGGATCGAAGGTTGGATTTCTTGGTTTGATGTCGATGCTTCCGGAGCAAAGTATAAGTCACCTTATCCTTAAGGTCAGGTTTCAAAAGGCCAGTCTCAATCTGATGGTCAACAATCATCTCTGATACAAAAACAAAACAAAAACTCAGTCAGAAGACCATGCAGTTCATTTTTTTTACTCCAACTTTATAGATGTCATCCTCAGATTTAATATCAATATACTATTTTCCAAATTTCCAACTTCCCACTTTACATGAAGGATGAAGAAACAGGGACACTGGCATTAATTAATGAGAGAGTTATAAATATTACAGTAATTATAGTTTTGGAGAAAAATTGTCTTGTTCATTTTTTCCAAGTCCAGTTAATACTGAATTCACATGAATCACATTCTTTTATGAGTAACACAATAAGTCAGTAATTTACATTTTTCAATTAAGAAAAAAAAGGTTAGAAAATTGTGTGTATGCTATAGCAAATGTGCCAGAAATATAAATGATATGAAAAAAACTTGAGAATATGTAAAATTTAAAGTAGTGACATTACTGATTTTTTTTTATCTATTTCCCCAAATTCTTCTGTAATGTTGTTTTCTCTTTATAATAGGACCATGTAAAGAAAAACAGTACCTTTCTCTATATCGGGTTATTTGAACACCAATTAATCCAATGAAAGAAAGATTAAACTACAAAATTATGACTTAGTCTTTTCTAAGAAGGAAGGCTTATTCTTCTTGTTTAGATCCAACTAAAGCCTTTCTAATATACACCATTAGTCATTTTAAAGTATAACCTGACCAGAATTTTCTATGAAATTTTAGTGTCTTAGTCTTACTATAAAAAAAATTAAAATTTCTATTAGCTCTGTTTTAAAGAATGATTTTTAACTAGAAAGATGACTGTGTTTCATAGAAATTGCTCCATGGGTGGCTCGGCTGAAGGAAGTTTTACTCTAATAGAAAATAAGAAATCCTCTTTCTTACAAGTTAGCATGTCAGCAGTACGGCATAAATGTGGCCTCATGCACCCTACCCTACTGTCAGATCACAGGTCGACATTTCCTCTGCCTAAAACAGAGCTCAGGACAAAATATCACGGAATCCATGCAAGACAGACAATGGCAGGATGCCACCTCATTGTATTTAGGTAGAGCTTTTGTGCCCTGCACAGAACTCAACCGGTGCATCCCATGCCTACCTGTTCAGGTGCATGGGTGCATCTAGCATATCAATATTTTCCTCTTGGGCAAACTTCTCAGTGTACACAAGTGGAGAAGAAAACAAAAGCTCTCCTTTTTTAAAAGTCTGACAAGAAAGCTGATAGGTGCTGGTAGGATAACAGCATCTCTCAAGCATTCCCATCCTTTTGTAAAGAGAATTTACAAATATTCAAGAGGCTTTGCTTGGACACAGCGGCACCTATGAAGTTCATCCTAATAAAGCATGCACTCACAGAACTGGCCTCACGTGGCACGGCTAGAAACTAACAATTTACACAGTGTGCAATCAACTATTTGGGAACCAGAGACTGAATCCAGGATTTTCTATCACATGCCTCACACAGATACCATAAATGTCACTTAATGCTGGACCACTTAGTCAGGAGCCTAGGCAAAGCAGGAAGAGTTTCTCCCATAGGAATGTTTTGGTTTGACAGTGGTCTTTAGCTCTGAGTATTTTTAACTGATCCTATAATTACAATTAACCCTCTGTTCCACAGTAAAATAATTAGATGCTACTGACACAACCCCTTTACATTGCCTTTAAGTGTCATACAATGTGGAGACTTCATTTTACAGAAGAACCACAAAAACAAATAAACAGCCCCAGCATATATGCTGTATTACCAAACTCCTACTCTAATTTCAGGGTTGTGGATTAAACTGTTTCTTATCTACCCTTCCTGGCAGATCCTCTCTCTGTTTTTGCTCTTCCTTGTAATCTCAAACCAATCCATATATATACACAGCCGGCCCTCTATGCCTGTAAATCACCAGTTAGAACAGGTTAAAACATCTGTGTGGCTGATGCCCTTCATTAAGTTTCCATAAAAATGGCCCACATTGCAGGGATCTCTTTACACATAAACTACAAAACATTTCAAGGAAAGTCAGGGGGCAGTAACATTTCACAGCTACACTGAAATTAAACCTTCAGTGTTCAAAATCCTACGGATGCTACCACTTGGGGATGTGCCAACTCTAGACGATAGCAGAGCTGAAAGGAACCTCCAGGAGCAACAAGTTCAAGGTCTTGTTATACAGATGAGGAAACAGAGGGCAAGAGAAGAGACTGGCTCACAGACATAGCCTAACTAGAGGCAATATCTCCCAAATGAAACCAGGTTTTCTGATTCTTCATTTAGATCTTTTTCCATACCACACACTGTTTTTCTTAATTTGAAAAGGAAGTTCTAGACGACAAAAAAAAAAAGGTTGTATATGCAGAATAGATGACAAACATTCTTAAAAGAAATACAAAGACCCAAGATATATTCAACTTCAAGACTAACAGACCATTGAAACAAATTTATGCAAATATAACCAATTAGGAGATATCTGTTAATCTACAAAGTGGCAAAAATTAAAAGACAAGTCTCCAGAGAGATGAAGGATGTGTGCAACAGGCAATCCACATACTGCTGAGGACAGCAGAAACAAGCACAACCTTTCCTGAAGGCCACTTGGCAACCATATAACAAAACCCTTCAGTATGTTCAAACCCTCTGTACATTTCACCACTAGAAATCTGTATTAAGGAAATCATCAGTTTCACAGAAGCATCATAAAAATGCTCACTTCTTTTCTTTATAGTAAAAACTTGAAGGAAACTTAAATGCCCAGTAATAGATTATTAAATATTTTACAATATATTTTATATTTATATTTAATGACATGGAAAGGTAATTCATATTATGTCTTTAAGTTTAAAAAAGGCAGATTCAAGTGCTACAGTATGATCCCATTTTGTAAAATAAATTTCATTATGTGTAAACAAATGTACAGAAAAACTGCTGGGAGGGTAGTCCTAAAAGATCAGATTTGTGGCATTCTCATTTTTGTGTTATATTTTCCTGGGTTATTTTAAAATGAACATAGATCTGTGATAAAAAATAAACATATTACCATTTTGAAAATATAAAAGGTGTAAAAAGCAAGAAATGACTAACACAGCTGCCAACAGCCACAGCTCAGGAACGCCTTTAAATATAAAAATGAGAACTCCAAAAATAGAGCTACATTTTCCTAATCTATTTCCTATCATTATTAAATACCTGAAATGGCTTATATAATAATTTTTTTAACTTAGGGAGGAAAATTCCAATGTAGTTGGATACATGTGAACGACACTCTAAATGTAGAATTATAATGATGATAGTAATAATAAATTACTAAAATGATCTATGAAAATGATGATTTAACCTTTAAATACTTTAAAGACAATTTTTTTCTATTAGTATTAAGAAGGGGTCTTCATGAAGAAAACTAGAGGTCCTGAGGAGAAACTGGAATCAAGCTGAATTTTTTTTCTGCAAGTGTGAAAAGTAACACCTGCTTAAACAGTCACCCACTGCTCATGACGAAGTGCACCTGTGGACGGGTGCCTCTCAGAGGCAGGCCACTAAGGAGCCGCAGGTGGACTGCAAAAAAGGATAAAAATCTTGCTATTGTTTGTTTGATGTAATCACACTTGTTATTATTACTTTTTTCTCTTTTGTTGAGATAAAATGGGAGTTGAGAGATGTATCTTACGATTTAGCTGTACATAATTCTCAACTCTGAATTACTAGCACAATTCAAAACAAAACTCCACTGCATCATCTCGTAAAACAGAATTTTTACGATAGCCAGATAATGACAATAACTCCAAGTTACTGTGCCATCTTCTGTCATTTAAAATTAAATAAGATTCTTTCTTTTCCTTCGTGTTTTCTAACCTACCTCGAAGTTTAGATTCTTTCAGGAGACTTTTAGGTATTTCTTTTCAGCCAGTCACACTCTCTCAGACACATTCTCCTTGCACTCCTGCAAATCTGGTGCCTTTTTTGTTTCTTTCTTTCTTTTGCTTGTGAATTTTTTCCTTTTGTCCTCTAAATTGTTTCTCTGTATTATCAACTACAGAATAACAGCACTGGCTCTGTCCTGTTTGCCCCAGAGACTGTAGAGCAAACATATCACTGGGTGATGATACCTCCAAGTGACCTAGTGGTGTCTAATTTTAAAATTTAATGACAATTTTTAAAGCAAATGCATGGAGGTTACAGAAAAAGTTCGCAGCTAATAATAACAAGTAATGGAAAATTAAAGTGAGAACACAGAATGCTTGGAGAGCCTTTCTTAAAGGTAATAAATAGCAGAACCTCTCTCTTTGGCCATTGACTAACGAGTTTCCAATATAATGTGGGACTCTGTCTTCTACTGCATGTAAAGGGTCAGTTATTTCCTAAGGACCTAAAGTTCCAAATGATGGCTCTTTCTGGGGGTGAAGAAACCAAAGATAGTTTTACAGAAAAGACCAAGTACATATCAACTTTAACTTTTGTCACCCTTGTTGGGCCAGCTCCAGGCACAGCAAAAAAGCTGTTTCTAGCTCCAGCTACTATATCTTTCGGAAACTTTTCTCCTGCTCATGAAGTGCCTGAGCATCTTCCTACCTGACTGAGTCTACACTCAGCCCTCTGCTGGGTGACATGTAGAGAGATGTGCATAAACTCATGTATACTGGGATAGTCATGTAAGTATGTAACAATAACACCTAATGGCCTCCTCATTTAATTCTCACAACAACCCTGACAGGTCCACTTTCATCCAGCTATTACAGATGAGTAGCCTGAAACTGTTAAAGGGTTAAGTAATTGCCTTGTCCATCCCATAGTCATACATGCTAGTAGGGGTAGACATTAATCCCTCCAATTTTAAATCCACCGTCCTTTCTACAATACCACTCTGCATCTCATGGAATTCATATATGACCTATGTCGGACAGACTGTATATTTTAATAGGACAAACCCTGGGTCCAGTGAAATGAATCTCCAAATGGTGAAATTTCAGGCAGTAACAATGGCCTATGGCCTTTTTTTTTTTTAATAGGAACCTTTCTGGTGACTAAACCACAACATGTATTATTCTCCCCCTAGATTGCCTGTACATTGCCAGGTCACAAATTTAATTTCCATTTTGCCCTGCATTTATGCATCTGATGTATTTTTCTCTACTTGTCTGATTTCAGACATCTTTGTTCCAGGTTAGTTCTTAATGTCTAAGAATACAATAATTGCAATTCTCACTCAAAAACTGGATTGATATTTGCTAACCGTGATATTTTTTTAGATAACACTGTCTCTCTTGCAGCCTTTACCAAATGAAAAAAAAGTCAGTGTAACAAACTACCCAGAAAGCCATTCCTTCCATTCGCTTCTGTCTTTATAGATGGGATCCACCTTCCCTTGGTACAGTAATCCGAACTCTCTCATCATATATCAACTGTCCATTTCAGCATTACCTGCCTCGTCAGATATGAAAAATTCTACATAGTATTTCCTACATTATCTTCTAACCGCCTATGTGGATATGGATTTGTAACTTATAACTTACCCCATTTACAAAGTGGTATAATAGATTTGCAAACCTACTTCCAGAGCCTGGAACAGTGTCTTGCACATTGTATAAGCTTGCACTTCGCTGCTGAATAAATGCATGAACTAATTAATTCTGTCCACCTAGCATCATCACATTAGTCTTTCTCTCTTCTCCATTTGCACCTTAAGTACCTCAGATGCATGAAAAGTGTGGGGCTGCTTTGCAAATCTAACTAACAAGCTCTCTGAAGAACTGAATACACATACGTCAGCTAGACATATGCCTCATCTGACTACTAATCTTTTCTTTCAATACAAATGCTATAGCCTCCCCATTTTCTATAAACACACAGATGCCATAGACAAGCCTTTTGTCTACAGGCAGTCAAAGAAATTTTGCAGTAAGTCTGAAATTACCCAGGAACTTTACACTGGTCACTTTCTGCAGAGTCATAATCCACATCCAAGTCTCCACAATCCCAAGGGAGGCACCCAATAGACCCCTTGGGAAAGTGCAGTCATCCGAACTGGCCCCATGATCACCTCATTATAGAATTTTCCTAGGAGTAACTAGCAGAGCGACTGCCCCTGTCTTTCAGGCTGTGCTCAACGAACACCACATCTGTGCTGTTGGTCAGCGCACCTAGATCTGAACGGTAACATGGCAGCTTAGAACAGGCCCTTGCAGAAAATGGAAACAATTACTACTGTTTGGAATGTAGTGATGTGTGCCCAAGGCGTTTGACATGGTGAGTTAACATGCACTACACAACACTAATTGCAAAAGATGCCAAAGCCACCCAGCACCATGAAGTTCAGTGACTTGGAGGTAGTTGGACAAATGATGCTCAACACCAATGTGGCCTGACTCAGTCACTAACCCGTGCTCTGCTGGCTTCTTGCCCCCACATAGCTTTTCTCCACAAACAGTTAAGGGAGCTTGACTTCCATCTACAAAATCAACCCTAATCCAGGAACTAGACTATTTTTCTTCCTGTAGAGGTTTTAAACCCTATTTTAAAGATGACAAAACTGAGGCCCAGAGTTCAGTGCAATCTCTAAGTTCAAAGATTAATTTAGTGTCCAGAGTTCCAGTCCAATGTCACCAAGGGTGAGTGTGGGTGGGTGGCACCTTTATTCAAAACATTAATCTTATGCTAATTGGTGAAAAAACGAATACAAATATGTACACATACAATATGTTCCCAATTTTAATTTTTTAAAAATAACATAGAAAATAAAAAGCATAAGAAAGAAGGCTGAGAAACAAAACTGAATGGAAATATGCCAAAATGTTAATAATGACTGACTGGAGAGAGGTACAATGGATGACTTGTTTTATTTTCTTCTCGATATTTGTCCAAATTTTTTCCAAACTTTCTGCAATAAACCTTACTAGTTTTATAATATAAAAAGAGAGAAAGAATAAATGTTCTAGAATATTCAACTCTGCTTACACTAGAACTCATTTGCATTGATGGAGACTTGTGGATCGGTAGGAAAAGCTGAAAAATGACAGGAACTTAAAACAACATACTTACCCACCAACTGTGGGAGAGAAGAAGCTTCCCTGTCAAGCATGATGGACCCTTTCTCCATACATGTCCTCAGCTCAAACAAGCTGTGAAGGGACAGCGTGGCCACGTGGGGCTTGCTCCATCTCTCCCCACCCTGTTCCACCTTTTCTTCAAACTTAATCCACCTAGGAACATGAAATCAGTGAATAGCAATTAGAAGTGTTTTCACCTTCTTGGAAATAGCAACATCAACCCCTCCGCCTCCACCCCCACCAGCACTTCCAAAACATCTCCTTTTGTGGAGACTTAAAAGCTTATTTATATCATTAACTGTGCTACCTGTATTTACAAACACACCAAATAGAAAAACTAGACTGCTCCTTTCCCTAATGTTAGATAGAGAGAGAGAAAACAAACCAATAGGAACCAAAGTATTCTTGGTTTTATATCTGTCCATATGTAACCATGAAAACCTTAAGAATGTTTATTTAACTAAATCTTTTAAATGAGGTCAAAAAATATACATTACAAAATTCTCCATGTAGGTAGAGCTTACAATTTGTAATAGCCACCATTGTGAGAATTCTGTTGTGACTTCACAAGGAAAGTTTATATAAGATGAAATATCAGTTATGAACCAATGTTTATCTTAAATATTTGAAAGACATAGTGTGTGAAGTGGTCAAATGAATATATAATTTCCCTTTAATGAGTAAGGAGGGCCAGCATATGTTGTTATGTCTTACTTTAATATATATTTCTCAGCTGACACATGTTCTCCCTTAAATATGCAAGTTCAATGAATAACACATCTATCCTAATAATAACAGATCTCCTAGCATCCTTAGTACTGGAGCAAACAACCCTCTTTCACAGCTTCTTCTTTCTAAGACTCCTAGACATTTTGATAGCTTAGCAACATATATCAATTTTAAAAAGTTTAATGGAAATAAAGGCATAACACATTTGACAGTTTTTATGTCCCACATATTACACATATAGACTCTTCTTATACTGGTTAAAAAAAAACAACAACAACAGGAAACCATTGACATTTTGCTATTCATTAGGACCCCCCAAAAAAAATGTTTCTCTCACTTCAAACCTTCTGAAAAGATAAAGAGTGGGGTTTAAAAAAATTGTTTTTCTACATTCTTCACCCAAAGGTTTAATGATTGAAAAATGTTTTCCTAGAAAAGGTAAATGCTCACCTAGCTCACTAAAGATGAGAACAAAGGGGCAGAGATCAGAGGAAGTTCTACATGAGGTATTATTTATAGGCCACTCACCACCCCAGAGGAGGGAAGAAAAAACACACTGGCAGAACCAGAGTAAAAATAGATCAAGAGGTCAGCCACAGCGTCAAAGAAAATTTAGACTTTTCATCAAGTTCAACACTCATGTGATTCAGAAGTCTTTTAGCCATGTTCAAAGAGTCTCCCTAGTTACCCCTCTCAGGAAGCCTCTCCCTGCCAGGAAACTCCCTCATGTCAATGGCAACCTTATTCCCAACCTCACCCTCAATTCTAAGACCCTCCTCCTTTCCCCTGTATTTCAAAAAATGTAGGCAGTGAAGATTTTTGCGTGTTTTCCTCACAAGCTAACAGGCCAACACCACCACCAAAGGTTTCAAACTTCAGAACTGGAACTTGGTTTCATTTCTACAAAGTGGCTGCAAAATATTCCAAAAAAGAATGGAAGATCCTTAATATTCTCTGTGTGTGTGTGTGTGTGTGTGTGTGTGTGTGTGTGTGTGAATTAGTTCTTCTCTTTGGGTGTTATTAGACCCACAGAAATAGAAGTGGAAGGGAAATGACAATTTTACATCACACTCATAGAATTCTATGGATTTGCCAAAACAATAAAAGGTAATTGGGGTTAATTTTGATAGTAATCATTTTATGGAGCATATATTTAACTGATTAACTTTAGGTATATTATGTTTTCACCCTTGCTCACAGAATCTCTAACCATGTTTGTGGGTAACTAGTATATGAATCATATTTACATTTGATATTATCACTTATTTTTCAACATACGATTCTAGAAGTTAGAAGATTTCATAGTATATGAAACCAAGACAGGGTTACATATAATTATGTCATCTATGAATAGTGACTCCTTGTTTTTAGTCCTAAGAGTTCTTATTAGTTGAGGGATAGAATCTTTGGTCATAGAATTTAAGCCCAAGATGAATGACAAGGGCCAACTAGAAACTCAGCAAAGGGGAGTGTTTTATACAGCCTTCACTTCCTGCTTATCTTTACTAAATGAGTCGCCCTTTCTACCAGTTGCCATAAATCTGTATTGCCAAATCCATTTCTTAAAAGAAATCTAAGCCTCACTTATATACAGTATATGACAATGGCTCTTTTCCACAATTATCCTCAACTGTCCAAACAATGTAAGTGTAATTTTTTTTTAAAGGAGCAAAGCTACTGCATTCTTTTGTGATGGATCTTTTATTTCATTCCTCTCCATAGTTTATATTTTAGGCAACCTGACTGGACTTCAATATGATTTTGAACAAGCCTTAAAAGTACATTTAGAAATCATAAACCTTAACTAGCTTGGATTTATGGAATAGCATTCATTACTCACCTCCTGGAATACACCAGCTCTTTAGATCAAGATTTAACAACAAAGGAATGGAAATGTACTCTCAAACTACCAGTTTCTTAGAATCCACATTCCTAAGTGATCAGCATTATCTCATAGTTCAGTTTAGCATCTATTTCACTCTGAGTTCAGTAAATATTGAATGTTGTGATGATGTCATATCAGCAAAGCTAATGGCATAAAGCAAACTCTGCAATAGTGACTATTCAATTCCTTTAAAATATATTGCTCTAATTGTTTAAGGAGTTCATTATACTTTCAACATTTGCATTCAGGCATAAAGTAATGGTTTGCCCATTTAAACAGATTATTTACAGGTAGTTTCATTCCAGAAACTGTACATGCTATGTCTATACTCACATATGAAGGACAAATTTGAAAACAAAATACTAAAAACTACTCAGCTCAAATCAGAAACCATTAAAGAAAAGGTTAAGGCCAAGGTACCAAAGTTCAGCTTTCTGAGTGCCAATGAATTTGTAAAGGTGCTTCAGAACTGTGCAATTATTTTTCTTTAGAAAAAAAACCCAGACATTCTTACTGTAAAATGTACTAAAAGCCACTCTATACCCTTCATAATAACTAGGAATAACCATATATTAACAGTAAGTTTCCCCCTTTTCCTTCGGCTTGGTATTTGACATGTTACAGGAAAATTAATTTCAGAAGTTGGCGTTTTTAATGCTTGCAATTATAAAACTGTTGTAACCTTGGAAGAGGAGTTTATTAGGTGAAGTTTATTTATTCCAAGGTCTCAGAAGAATAATGATAAAGTACACTGAAGTTTAACACACTTTGAGTGACTGCCAACCAAACAATATTTCAACTCGCTTGTTGAAGAAATAGAAAGCCCACTGGGAATCACTGAATTTTGCAATTTTCCAATCATATGATTAAATATAATTAAGAAAAGACAAGACCTCTAACTTAAAAACATGCCAGTTTTACTGTGGAAAATAGACATGACCTTCGCTCTAGATTATACTCCAACTTCATAAAACTATTAAAATGATGATAAAATTTCTTGCTAATACGTGCCTCACACATAAAAAAGCAGCCAGTGCTAGTGTGTAGCTGAGATAAGTGATGTTTTTAAGGAGAATTCTTAAATTTCTAAATCAACTGTGAAAGTTATGACAAAATTTACATGTATGTTGTTATAAATGTTATATAAAAGTCATGTGCATGTATAAAGGTTATAAAGTTATATGTATGCATACTTACATAAAGTTATATAAAAGGTGCATAAAGTTCTGTGTATGTTGTTCTAAAAGTTATATGTATGCTGTAACTATATAATTACACAAATGATCAAAGTCCTTTTCCTTCAGCCTTTTTCTTACAGAAAAAATAAACGTGGTCAGAATGGAATTTTCCAAAGTAATCCAATAGAGGAAAGATAGGGAGGTCAGTGGAGACTGGGAAGAGCGCAGTCCCTCTCCAAACCCCCAGGGTAAGTGCACATGTCTGTGTTTGATGTCCCGGCCCTGGAGCCAGGTTGTCCAGAGGTATGTCAGGTCAGTCTGCAGAGCAGAAAGACAAATGGCTGTTTCTTTGTGCTGTCCCACTAAAAGTGAAACATCAATACCCATTTCCTTTTTTGGCTTGTTGTGTTTGTTGAAACTTGTGACGGCTTTCCTTGTTTGGCAGTAAAATGTGAATCACATTGGGGGAGTGATCTTTACAGTATATTCTCATAACAGTTCACCGCTTCCAACATTGCCCATCTGAACAGTTGCTGAAGGGAAAGTGAAAGCCAATAACCATTTTTGCACAGACATCACTGACTCAAAGAAATAAAGAGTTTGGGGGTGGCAGGGGGTACTGGTAGCCCTTCTTCCTGGCTTTGGGCCATCACCAAAGCTGGACCATGACTTATACTTTTACCAGTTTGCTTCATGAATCCATTAACTAGTGCCTAGCTATCTAGAAATTGTTAATAAGGAACATAGGCTTCTTCCTTAATACCAAATAGTCTATTCTAATTACTGCTACATTACTGAATGTCCATATTCTAATGACCTAACACTTAGGAGTACTCTTTAAAACAGGGGGTCCTCTGCATTCTACTGACTATATACACTTCTCAGGTCTGATCCTTTTACCTTTTGTGCAGTCTTAAACTTGTGCTCTGTGTTGAAAGAACCAGTGAAAATGCGAAGTTCTAACTTTTAGGAAAGGGAAGAGGAGGGAAAAGAAGTGAAAAAAGAGGGTGGTCGAGTTGGCTGTACTTCAAAGTTCACATAAATAAAGGTTTCCCTTGTTCATAGTTTTACATGACTACTATGTTTTCCAAGACTTAAATGGGGATATTTTTCCTACTACTGAAACAATTCTCCTTATTTTTTGAGACACAGAGCACATCTGAACTCCTGAAGTAGGACTGAAACTGCAGTGATGCTAAGATTCAATGTAGGGTATTCTTGGTGAAATTAAATCAGTCAACCAAAAGGTACTGAACATTAAAAGGGAGAGTTTTTAAAGGGGCAGGATCGTGTTCTGTGGGGGTGTGGGCTTACAGTACAAATTATATTAAGCTAGAGAAGTCTGATGGGCTAGTTCCCTATGGAATAAAATAATCTGCTAATTGCAGTTTTCACAACAAAAAAAAAGGCAAAAATTCTCAATTTTATGTTAGCCAGAAAAATATTCATGCTTCATTTTTCATATGTAAAACAAATCCCTTCTAAGCATTACACTTTTATTAGTCTGGTAGGTTTCAGAGCTTTCTATGGGGGGAGCGGGGGGGAAACACCTATCATGTCTGCAAACTGGACATCATAAATGGCAGTCAAAAATTACTGAAAAAACATTCTGAAGCAGAGTACATTGCCGGAAGTAAAATTTACTGAAAATCTGAATCATTACTGGAGGCACAATCATCTCCAAACCTCCCAGCAGGATTTAAGTGGAGCAACAAACTAAGAATCAAGGTTCTATTTCCCCATCCATTCTATTAAAATATATTTCTTGATTATGGATTGTGTGCCAGGTACTTATAGGCACTAGAACTACAGCAGTGAACAAAAACAACCAAAAATCCCTGCCTTCATGGATGGAGTTTTTATTTTAATGGGAAGAAAGGATTAGATGTGCAATATGCTAAATACTGGTAAGTGCTAAGAACATAAATAATGGAGGATAGGGAATACGGAGTGTTGGGAGGAGATTTCCAGTTTAGAATGGGCAGTCACTGAGAAGGTCATATTTGAGTAAAGACCTGAAAGGGGTAAAAAAAAAAAAATGATCCATGTAGGTAACTGTGGGGATGTGGCAGGTAGAGCATTTCAGACAGAAGTGCCAAGTCCCTGGCACATGACGGGCCAGTGAGACGGAAGCAAAGCGAACAAGAGGTAGAGAAGTAGACAAGGTGAAAGAGATCACGGTGGACAGTTCGTGAGGGAGACAAGGGCAGGTGCAGAGAGGTGGACTAGTTAAAAAGCATTTGCAGTCATCTAGGTGAGAGAAAATGGTGGCTTGGACTTCAATAGTGGTACTGAATGTGAGATACGGTGAGATTCTATTTATTTATTTTTTTTTTTTAGCTGAGCCATCCTGCTACCTGTTGGCAGCTCAGCAGCTGCTCAGCTCAGGCCAGGACTCGAACCGCTGTTGCTCAGAGCTCAAACCCTTGAGCGAGCTCTTAACCAACTGAGCCACTCGGCCGGCCCTCTGGTGAGATTCTAAATACATCTCTGAGGGTGAAATAGATAGGATTTGCCAGTGGATCAAGTAAGGGGTGTAGACAAAGTCAGGAGTCAAGGAAGACTCCAATGTTTCTGACTTGAGAAACTAGAAAAATGGAGTTACTCATTGTGGTGGGGACGCAACTGTGTAGGACGAATATTATCATGAGGTGGGTAAATCAGAAGTTCAGTTCTGGACATGTTATTTTGAGATGCTGTTAGCCATCCAATTGTTTGTTTTCTATCAAATAAAGCAAGAAGTCTGGATTAGAGAACTAAATGCAAATAGCATAAGCATAATGATGAATTAGTTTGATTATCAAATATAGGTCCTCTTCTGAGCATTATCAATGGTGTACTGGGTACCCTGTGTCTGTCATTCAGCTGTCCATCAATCAGAAACAGGTGGATTATTACAGAACTCCAACTTTGGTCAAGTAATATTTCTAAGAAAGTATTATATGTAGAACAGTTATTTCTAAGGCAATCAGTTCTCAGCTAATCACATGCAAAAAATATTATTCAGCACCTATCACATACCCAGGCACAGCAAGGCACTGGTAATGCTATAGTGAAAGACAGGCATGGTGGTCCCTGTCTTCAGAGGAATTAGTGTAATGAGGGAGATAAAATGAAAACAATAATATTACATGTATGCTTAATTAATTAATAGTAATTGTGGCAAGTCCTGTATAGAAGTTACAGAGTGTAGACTATTTGTACATATGTTTCTTCCTACACAGCTTCCCCCGCCCCCAACACATGGCGTACTCCCACCACATTTCTTCACCAGCAGTACAGTCATTCGGGAACTAATGACATCATCCAAATGACACACACATTCACAAGGAAATCAAGTCTTTAAGGATGTCAAAGTGTTCAAGACCATCTTACTGTTTAAGAATCTCGAAGGAAAACACTGTGTCCATCTCTTTCAATGTTGAATTACCTATACAGTGAACTGTGATCTGTCCACATTTCTGGGACCAGGGATCATATAAAATAAAGTATAGTCTTTATTTGACTGAAAGAAAAACATGCCATATCTGAATTCTACTCTATTATCAGTATTCACACAGAATTTTAAGATGAAAATAAGAATCAAAGTCACTCTTCTAGTCACAGCTGACTATACCAGTATACACAGGGATGGGATTTTAAAGCTGTGAGATATGCATGATGTTAGAGAGGATGCAACCCAATATGAATCCTCATTTTAGAGAATACAAAACTCAAACTCAGGGAGACTACATGATTACATGACTCGCCCAAAGTTAAATAGCTAGTCAGCAACAAAGCAAAGACTAGACCAAAATCTCCCTAACACTTAATTCAGGCTGTACCAGTACAATTCTATAATTCTCACTCTATTTTTTTTTCCTGTTAGAAGGAAAAGGAAGAATGATATCAAGATACTAGTAAAAGTTTCTGCTTCAAAATCCTATTTTTGGAGGATGTTTCATGGACTAAACGTGTACTTTACAGAAGACTTTTAGTATCCGGGTTATTGGTGCTGAGAAAGGGAATAAGAAACTATTACTGTATCATGAAAAGAAGCCCTAAAAGAGCAACTAATGAAAATATTCATTTCTGTATTCCCAGTTCCTAAAACAATACTGTTTATATGCAACATATACTATGCAGTCAAAAAACACTTTCAATTTAATTGATTTGAATTAAATTACAGACTATAAGAGGCATATCTTAATAATGTTCTGTTTGTGAAAGTGAAATACATTGAATCTCCATGTAATAACAATGAGAGACCAATAACTGCACTATATCAAAGTCTTCATATTATATAATTGTTATATGTCATAGAAGGTTTAGTATGGAATATATAACTAAATATATATGTAGAAAGAAAAAAGAAAGGCTCTATTATTGTGAGATTAACAAAATCTTAGATATTTGTATAGTGCTTAACAATTTACAGAATTTCCACATATATGTATACATATGTATGATATAATTAGTCATATATATTATATTTACATATATTACATATCCTATATAGCATGCATATATATATATATATATATATAATCTGTAGTAGGCAATACTGTACACTGTTTTTGATGATGAAATCAAAGCTCTGAGAAACAGTGTTATGTAGCTAACAGGTGACAGTCTGAAATTGAACTCAGGTCTCTAAATTCCAAATTCAAGTGAACCTTCTACTTCCTGTCACTGAATATTTAAAAGATAACAGGTTTTTACTTGGAATAATAGCAAGTTTGTGGGTAGCAGTCACTGTCTTTGCAACCTCCTCCTAATGGAATGGGGAATAAATCAGACATGACCTCACAAGATCCCATAGCATGTGGATACTGAGGATACATATCTCTAGGCTATCTTGTTTGGGTATTTGCATTTATATCTAAATATTCCACTATTAAATAGCACATGAATGGAGATTTACTACTAATTCCTTATTAAGGTTAGAATTATAACAATACGGATCCATGAAACAATGCTCCAGTAGTGAAATAGAGGGTCTCCTGCATCCATGTCAATGTAAAAGGGAAGAAACATGACTGTTTTACTCCTTAACCCAGCCAACATCATGCTCATCAGTTTTGCAAAACGCTAAGGTCAGAGAAAGGAGCTCACTCACAGATTCAACTCTCTTGCCCCACACTTGTTTCCACAGGTCAGTACTACACACAGTCGGCCATGCCTCACCTTGCTGTCTCCTTCCACTCCATCTCCTGCCCATCCACGGCCAGCAGCTCATCCAGCTCGGTGAAGAGCTGAGGGGGTGCTGGGCTGTCATCCTCCTCACCCAAGATGAATCGGATGCGCTCTGCGGCGGGAGAGACTGCAGAAGTGAAAATACTGTGATTAAACACTGGCTGCACAACCCTGAGGAAACTGTAGCTCTGAGCTCTTCCTCTGTCCCCAAAGCTGTTGGGCTTCCCATCCACATTTTCAGTGGACATCTTCCTTGCTGAGTCTCCCTTGTCCCTAACTTAAAGACAAAAAAATCAAAGCCTTCTGTATTCCTTTGGTTCTAAACTGTATGTAGCTCAGCGCCCCGCCACTCTCCAAAAGGAGGACGCTCTGGTTCTGTGTGGTGTATGACAAAGACCTGTTGGCCCTCGGATGAGCTGAGGTCCAACCACATGACTTTCCTTGCTTCCCCGCTTATGACCCAACCGAAATTATTAGACAGAAACCAGCTTGAGCCAATCACTTTTCCTACAACAGTGGGAGGGGCAACAGAGCACCCCAATCCTGAGTTTCCCCCAGGTGCCCACCTCCTACCCACCCTCCCTCTGTCCAACGCCTCATGCCCTCACAGGCTCCTCGCTGCCCGTAACTGGCTAACTACAAAGTTGATAAAGGAATATTTAACAAGATGGGGCCTCTTCTTGCCATAAAGGCAGTACCCAAAAATGTTTAGTCATACTTCAATGCACTTGAAAAACAAGCCCAAGTAAAATATTGTACACCTGAGGGGGAAAAATTTTCTTCAACACACTCAAGCACATAATTGAATGCCCTACGAGCTCCTTTTGACCCCATCTCCTGAAAATAATGTAATGAAAAATTAACTAACATCTCCTCCAGTTCATGGGTTATTTTCCCCCTTTTTTTTTTTTTACTTTAAAAAAAAAAAAGGATACTATTTGGAAATTGATAGTCATGTTAGAAAACGAAGGCCCACAGAAAGTCTTTATAATCCCTAGGTAAAACTAAGAATGTGATATACATGTGAATGCAATCCAGGTACACAGATATATACATATATGTGTGTATATATATATATATACATATATGTATATATGCACATAAATATGTAGGAATACATGTACTCAACCTTAAAAAAAAATCCCCACCATCTGAAAACTACTATAACACAGAACAAGAATAAAATTTCATAGAAAAAAATATATTTACTACAAGTAAACCCATGAAAAATATTCAACTTAACTAGTAATCAAAACTATTAAAGGGGGTGAGTGGGGCGGCAGATTGGGGGAGAGGGGTAGGTTGTCACTTTGAGGGGTAAAAAGTATAACTATTGCATCGTGTTGTACACCTGAAGCTAATTAATAAAAAAATTTTTAATTAAAAAAAACTATTAAGATACATGTTTTATCTATTAAAATGGAAAAATTAAAAAGAATGATAATGTTCAAAATCAGCAAGGGTTTAGGAAATTATTGTCACTGATAGGAGCTTAAATGGGAACATCACTCTCAAATTTTGAAGGATATAGAAATGTTTTACAAGTATATGTATCCTGTGAGCCAGCAATTCTATCACTAGACATTCATTTGCAATAAATAATAGTCATTATCTCAAAGACTCAGCCACATGACATGACCACTGCAGCATGATTTATAACTGAGAAAAATAAGAAAGGCCTGAATGTCCAAAAATAAACTACAGTATAACTATTCAATAAAATACCATCATGTAGTCGTAAAAAATGAAGTCAATATTATTGGTTTTTGACGTATACCATATAATATTAAATAAATAAAATTGCAAAATCATATGCATAAAGTGATTCCACTCCAGTAAAGACAAATAAAATACACACACACACACACACACACACACACACACACACACGTCTAGAATCAAGGAAGCCCTCACTTTGCATGGTTCCAATATGTGTGAATTTCAGTTACTGCGGTTTAGGTAAATAATACTAGTCCCCTAACAACACAGTACAAATTTTACTTAGTATGGTATACTAACTGTGAGAAGTTGCATAACGTACAGACGTCACTGCTACCTCTTTAGTCCACAATTACTATGTAAATAACATGTGCATCATGATCAGTGACCAATCATAATGAGTCTTTCAAAGTCTGTCCGTAACTGATCATTACACATTTCTTATCCAGTTCATGTACAGACAGCAAAGTGTGTAGTTGTGTTGCTTTCTTATCTCCCCATGATAAATTCATATGACATGGATAATCACAACGGAGTTGCAGCCAACAAAGATTAAAGTACAGTACAGAAACAAAAAGTGATGACACTGGAAGTAAAATCTGTAGTCAAATGTAAATGAATTTCTGGAAGCCCTACCTGATCATGGCGATGTAGAAAATGCTGCCATTGGCCATTTGAGAGACTAGACACATAGCGGAGGAGCTTAGTGAAGGTGTTCATTAACATAAATAAGGAAAGTGGTTGTACCAAAATGATAGCAATATCCCAGAAGAAATGATGCTGGGAAAAAAAAAACTACACATTAAAGGAAATCTCAGAGACATTTCTTGACGTAGAAAGCACAAAGGATAAAATGTTGGAAGCTGATCCAAACTTACAGAGGAGTATGACAATTTGGGCATAGAAAAGATGCTCGCCTGATTTCATTAGTTGTACAATTGCAAAAACACAAATACTATTCAAACTATTTCTGATGAGATTTTACAAAAAAAAAAGTCTCTTTAATCTTAATGTCTCTAATGTTTTAAATTTGAGCGTACTAAATAAAATATTAGCTTTACTATATTTTTTCATTTCCCGATGCCTTTATAGCCAACAGTAAAAAAAGATTTTAATGATTTGGCAAAATTTTTTAAAGGTCAAAGAACAATAGCAACTTTTCCCATTGATTATTAGGATTGTCTTGCATAATTTTAGCTTGCATAGTTATTTTTATGGTCCTGCACTACCATTCAAAGCAAGGACTGCCTGTATCTTTTAAATGTTTATTTCTAGGGCTTCTATTTTTTTCCTTTCATTTTCTTATCAGTTCTGAAGTATATCCAATGCATTCAGCAATATTTATTGAGTACTGTCTATGCTCTAAATAGGCTTTGCTTCAGGCTCTGAAGATAAAGCAAAGAACTTGACAAAAAGATCCCTGTTGCTATCGAGTTTACATGCTAGGAAGGGAAAAAATGTTAACTAATTAATTAATCAATTAGTAAAGTGAAAAAATGAATTAGTACATAAACCAACAAACAAAAGTATCTGTGAACTGTGTTTGCAAAATATTAAAATAAGGTAGTTAAACGCATATTAATTCAGGATACAATGTTTTACTTCTATAATTAGAAAAAAATGGATTTGAAATTTCTCTTATATCTGGGAGGAAAAGAATCTAAAGTTCCAGGACTTTATGCAAAAACATTTACAATGCCTTTCCAGTCAAGAAATAGGATGTGTAATTATTTTAGAGGATCAGAGAAGGCATGAAAAAAATGATGGGAGAGTTAGAAATGATAGGCAGAATTTGGAATCTGGATAATACTTCTAAGGAGTATAGTGTTCACACTACTAAAAATGTAGTTAGTTATTGATCATAGTTGTTCTGAAACTGACAACCAGAAATTTGATTGATTTTCATCAACATTCAACATCAAAGATTCCTGAATTAGAACTACCTTTTTGAAGGGGAGAGCCTACATTTAGGGAATCAACATTGTGTCCATTTCTGAAACATGTGCTGTGGGTATATCCCCATCTCTAACAGAGGAGAATAAATGTTTCTCCTGCTTAAATAACCGAATCTCCTGCACAGACAGCACACATCTCTGCTCAGTTCTAATCCACAGAGCATTATTCTACTCTGGCGTTCTCAAGTTAGGAAAACACGACTCACTGCTTATCAGACAGCAACTCAGCTGCGACTTCTGCAAAATGGAATGGAAGGATGTAACGTTACCTCCGGGTCTTCCTCTCCAAGCACTATGTCTAAGCACCTTTCATAAGTTGTCTTATTTATGGGTTGTCGGAAAAGTCATGACGTATTTTTCTATGTTTCTCGTTGTAAAAATACGTCATGACTTTTCTGACAACCCAATATTAAATACAGCAGCCTCTGAGCAACCAGTATAACCATCCCTTTGAGATAAAATTCCAGCATCATGTTGTCATAAGCTAGCTTGCTACTCTTAAGCTTCTTTCCTCACTTGCTCCCCTAAGTGTCCCCAGGAATTAGAAGTAGGAGGCCATAACAATTGTATTGTAAATATCGACCTGTAGGAGGGGCATCCTCTGTGGCCAGCAAATACCCTTCCCAATTTCTAATATCATTCTTAACATAAAGATCTGCAGAGTGAGAGTCTCCTTAATGAAGCATGTCAATAATTCGGTTTTTTTCCATAACTTTTGATCAAATGGTTAAATGAGCCAAACACAAGACATAGCATTGCATTGAGATTAAAAGTATAGACTCTGGAGCCAAACTGCCAGGGTTTAAATCCAAACTCTGCTACTTATGTGCTGTGTGACCTAAGACAAGTTAATTCATTGCTCTGTGTCTCAAATTCCTCACCTAAAAAGGATGGTGATGATCATTATAATAGCTAAAATACAAGGTTTAAATTAGTTTAAAAATTGCTGTTTCTTACTAGCGAAACCTGCCTAGCTTCTAAGAAAGAAAGCTCTCACCGCTATTGGCCTTAATAGCCCCTATATGTTGAAAATATATAAGTCAGGAAAGAAAAAAAATCCAACAGTTCTGCATATGTTACTTCAGTGAATTAGGTACCTTCAGTAATGAGACACAAAGATTACCTACATTCTGGGAAACAGCCAATAAAAGAACAAGAGGAAAATAATGAAACCCTTTTAACCTCATTTTAATACCTGGGGGCGGGGGTGGGGAGCATCAGAAAATCAACTTGCATTACAGATGAATAGATTATGATTCTAAGTAATAACTAACCTACTTTCATCATAAAAGAGAACCTGGAGAAAAATGAGAGACGGTGACAGGGAGGAAGGGAATGAAGGAGAGAGAAACTGCCAAATTTATCTAATCACATTTGTCAGAACAGAAGACCTGTAGATCAAAGCCAAGTTCACACCTCTCATTTGCCTTGATTTTCTTCTTTTTTTATTCTG